AAAACAACTTTCTTAACTAAAGGACTTTGGTGTGAGAGACGTTTGGATATTTATTGGGTCAAGTCACATTTTAAAAGCACAAGAATCTAGGACAATAGGTAGTACCGTACTAAATTCTGACTACGTTTTATACTCGATAATCTATTTAACTACCAGTCAATTTAAAATTGGTCTTATTTAGTTTATTGATTATTTGTACAATTTCATGGTTTAACATTACTAAATAATCAAAATCAGCATTTGCCATACAGAAATGTGTGATGTTTAGTGACCGTTAGCCAATGATTATTTGGAGATCGTGAGGTGTGGTCTCGTGTGACGTAGGTTTTAGAAAAACATTTTCTTTTTCGTGCCGACGTTTCGATCTTTATTGAGATCATCTTCAGGGCCTGGGATTTATAATCATTGTTGAAATTTTACAAATACATACAGCGTATTTAGCCGAAGGTCGTGGGTTCGAATCCCGCTCGTGGCACTGACTTTTTTACCTCAACCAATACCTAACATAAAGATGTATAAACATTGTTTAAATTTTACAAATGCATGTAGGATGTGGAAAAAAATGAATTTATACAACGCTAGAAATTCATTTTTTGTTCACATCGTACATGTTTTGTTAAATTTAAACAATGTTTATAAATCCCAGGCCCTGAAGATGATCTCAATAAAGATCGAAACGTCGGCACGATAAAAAAAATGTTTTTCTAAAACCTACATCGCATCAGACCGCATCTCACGATCTCCAAATATTCTTTTGTCATACATTTATGTACGAAAACTAACTTCAAATGATCTATCTGTCAGAATAATTTTTTAACTTTTTATTTACAATTTAACGATTTTTTTAAATTGTTCACAAGACCGTCATACTCGGTTGTCTGCAAGCAATATTTACAATATGAGGGGTGAATGTATCATGATAAAATAACTATTTTTGAAAATGAATTTCGATAATGATACAAGTGTAATAATGTCAAGAATGAAAAGTTGTGAGAAATTAAAGTAGACTCCGTTTATAGTAGGAGATAAATCAATGTTAAGGAGTAACAAAACGGATGTCGGCCCTGCAGGGAAGTATTGATGAGCCGCCCGCAGGATCCGTACAGGGAGCGTGTGTTGCGGTCCTGGGTTAGACGTGTGCAAATAACAATTAATGGTCGGGAAAGGGAGCTGGAAGCTATTAAAGGAGCTATTATGCGTTGTAGCCTTCCACGCACCTGCTATCCTGAATTTATCCTTTTCATCCCCTTTATCTCCCCGCCTGAGGTTGCCATGGCCACCGGCCTATTCATTACCCTCGCTCGTCGACGGTCGATATTTAAATGATGGCTGCGTTAATTTGGCACCCGATATGAAATGGCCTTCCTCCAACCCTACCTGCTTCATCCCTTATTCATACATTGCCTTATTTCGGTATCACTTCGTTCTGATTGTCTTGATTCACTTCTTGATTGAAAAACATAACCGTAAGGCCTTACACTGAGAAATCTATATTTTTCAACTACATATTTTCTTTTAAATTACTTCCACTTAAAGTGCAACAAAATCCTGAAGAAAGTTGAAAATAAAGAATGAAATAAATTAGTCAGCAAATAATTTCAAAATGTACGTGTGACCAGAACTCAACACACTTTCTTTGCTAAATAATCCAAGTATCGAAAAAATATAAATTATTTTTTAAAAATAATTTTTCCTCTAGGTTGGAACTACTTTGGGAAACTACTTATTCGGCAGACCTCTAAAAGTAAATATGAACTCGTAACAAATAATATTGTAATAACAATTTAATTGGTGCTTTGTAAGTATTCTTTGTTTGCATGTGTTTGCCTGCCTGTCATTCTAGCCCTCTATGTTTATCTCTCTCTTTTATTCTCCCCATGTTCGCTTTCTTTCTAACTTACCTTTCTTGTCTCTATTTGCAGTTTCTTATATGCGTGTTTTTTAAAATTTATTATACTTTTCTGTACTACTATATTATACTTTTCTTATTTTTCTCTTTTCACTCTCGCTCTCTCTCGTCTCATATTCTTTATTTTTACTTTTCTTTTTCCCGCAATATACATACATACCTACATTTCCAGCCCTTATTTTTAATTTTTTCATGTAGGTTGGTGTGCTCTTTCTCTTACTTGCATGGTCTCCCATCCTTTATCTATCTCGATCTCTCTCGCGCGCAGTCTGTTTATTTCTTTTTACTGTATCTGCTTATCTTCTCGCTTTCACTCTTTCTCTCTCTCGCTCTTTCTCTCTCTTGCTCCCTCTCGATCTCTTTATTGTCTCTACCAAATTGTTTTTAATTTTTAATTTAATCCCACTTGCGATTGCCCTTCAAATCCTTCCCACATAATTTTTGAATGTCCAGAATATGAAAAATGAAAGAGACAAACTGCTAAAAAATCTGAGCAAAGTCCCAAACATTCCAAAACCAATAAACTTAGAATCTGTCCTAATAAGCAACAATCCATCAGCTTTCAACATAATCTATGGATTTCTAAAGTCGATAAACGTTTCTTTTTGATTATCTTCAAGCATGAAAATTTAGAAGATGAGAAGATGATGGAGCTGAATGAGTGGTGCGGGCGCGCGGCGAAGATCTGGCCCTGGTCGGCCGATCACGCTCGACAGTAAAATGAAAATAGAAGAAAACTTCATGGGTAATATGCCAGCGTAAATTCAAAAGAAAAAAAAAATTTTACCTTCCGCATTAATACACATCTTTCTATAAGTTCATTTTTTCCATTTATTTTTCTTAGTACGTTATTAATTTTTTCTCTATCTGTCACTCTAGATTCCTGTCTATGTATTTTACTTTTTTCCCTCTTTCCATATACAACACCAGTCTATTTCTCTCTTTTTGTTTTTATTTTAATTTTTCATTTTTCTGTACTTCCTTGTTTTCAGTCACAATATCTCTCTCTCTCTCTCTCTCTCTCTCTCTCTCTCTCTCTCTCTCTCTCCTTTCACTCTCTCTATATCTCTCTCTCACACACAAACAAGCACTCTCTGCCAATATATTTATCTATTTATTGAAATATCTATCCATCTTTTTCTATTTTGCCCTTATTTATCCCTTTATGTATATCTTTTTGGATTTTTTGTAAATTTATTTTCCTTACACTTTTTTCTTCTCATTCTATCTATCACGATAGATCTCTGTCTTTCTATTTTTAAGTTTTCTCTCATTCTACATACACTCCAGCCTCTGTTTCTTTTTTCTTTATATTTTTTCACTTTTCTTTACTCTCTATCTCTCTCTCTCTCTCTCTCTCTCTCTCTCTCTCTCTCTCTCACACTCTGTCACACACACACACACACACATGCACACTTATCTATTTACTTAAATATCTATCCATCTATTTCTCTCTATGTATGTACGTACCTATCTATAAATTTATCTATCTATCCGTTCTATTTACCTATTCATCCTTTTTTTCTATCGTTGCATCTGCCTGTCCCTCATTTATCGTTTGCTCTCTCTCCCCCTCTCTCTCTCTCTCTCTCTCTCTCTCTCTCTCTCTCTCTNTACGGTTCAAATATTGCATATGTCTCAATTTGATCGAACGAACTGCCCTACTCTGAGGTCTGCGATAATGACGGACAGTGATTGCAATTGTTCTCCCTCTGGGGATGAATACTTCAAAAACGTACTGTTTAAAACCTAAATAAGCCAATAGATATTGTTCACTATATTCCGAGTATCAATATCACACAGCGTAGGTTCGCCGTCAAATCGACAGCTTCTCATTTTCTTAATCGTCAGGAAGGACGAGTAAAAGTGCTATTTGTTTTCCGGCGGATTTGTCACGCTCGGTCAAATTTGTCCGGCTGTCCACGCCTGCGATTGACGAGGGTTGACAAGCCCGGTATTTCGGAGTCACCTCTGAGGACGGCCGAGGGTGGTGCCGGCGGCCCGTTGGATGAATTTGTTACGCTACCGTTACGGATCCGGCCCAAACAAATAAACACTGCTCCTAACGAAAGAAGAGTTACTGTCATTGTAAGGAAATACAGCTTTTTTTTCACCCTCAATATTTGTCCCACGGCTACCGCTTATGGCACCTTCCAGTCAGAATTGAAGCACAACCAAACTGAAACTTACTGAAATGTCACTAAGGGGTTGAGCATCTCAAACTAGACGATGAGATCGTTGGTTTCTTAAAAATAACCTCATGTTTTGTTAAATGTTTAGCTTAAAAAGCCTAACTTTTGTCTAGAGGTTTGATTAAAAAAAATTACAAAAAAAAAATTAAAAATTATAAACTAATAACACAAAACCTTGCTGTTTTCCCTACATAAAGTGAAATAAAATATATTATTAATAACTCAACCTTTTAAATTTTCGGTAAATTGCTAAGAACAGTCGACACATCATATTCTACCAAAAGTTTTAATGATATTCTTCCTAAATTATAAATTTCAACTTGTGGTGTGCGGGGTGGTTAACATGTAGTTTGGTCGTTTACGGTACTTTTGGCATATGCACAAGCATCACCGTTGTGGTCAATCGGACGAGTTTCAGAGGTGAGGTTTTTTAAAAATAAAATCATGGGTTTATGTAGTCGGATTTTGTCATTATACGCACTTTCACGAACTTGTAAAAGGGTCTCACAGACTGACCGCTGAAGATGGCGAGGAGCCGAAACGGGTCTGTCAGACCAAAATAACGAGAATCTGTATGCAAAAATTATGGGAAAAGACCAAGATATACATAATTTAATTTCAAATAACTTAAAAACATAGTTTAAAAAAAATATTTTTAAATGATGTAATGATTGCTTTAATCTTTTATACATATTTTGTTGCGAAGTCGCATAACGTATTTTAGTTAGGGTGACTTTTCGAAAAATATATGTTTTTTAAATTTTTCTTTTTTTTGTTTTAAGGAACGATTCATTATGTGAAAAAACATTTGTTTTAATTATAGACAGATCAAAAGAAAAGTTTAATGTCGCATGTTTGCTACGATTCAGTTGGCATTGATTTAGTGTCTGCGAAGTGTTTTATTTTTTTTTTATTCCTCCATCTAATCCCATTGCCGAGTTTTTCTCTGGTTTGCTGAGTGGTGGCAACCCGGTCGTCTGAAATGAAGGTGTACTCGTCGAATCGTTTACCTGCGGTGTACAGTCTTTGCTTTCAGCGCCGCCTCCAGGCCCTCCATCGCCTCCAATACCGCCTCCACATCCCCCTCCTCCGCCGCCTCCTCCACCTCCTCCTACTCCGGCACCGCTGCGACCTGATTCTCCAGGCCGACCAGCCGAACCTCCTTTTCCTCCTGCACCTTCGGGCCTTTCTTCTTCAACAGAATATTGGCTGGAATCGCTGACTCTTTGTTGCGAACTTTTTTGTTCAGCGATTTCGGCGTAGTGGGTAGGGCTGCCGGGTTGGCTGGGTCCGGTCTGTTTTATGGCGTGTCGACGTTGACTTTCGGTACACCCAGGAGCACCTTCATTTCCTGTACCGCCTCCGCAACCTCCAGCTCCACCTCTGCTGCCACCGCCGCCGCCACCGCCGCCGCCACATCCACCATCATCATCCATAAAATGTTGTTTATTCTTCTATTTTATGATCGTATCGGTACTATTTATTTTTCTTGCAACTTACAGATGAAGTATATTGTTCCATTTTGTATCAATCGAAATTTTTAAAGAGTGAATTACGAGCTAACATGCATGGATTTGTCTATTTCACATTTATTACTTTTGAAGTTGCAGAAACATAATCAACCAAAATGTAAACCGTATGTTAGTGCAGCGTACCACCAGGTGATCAACATAGTTATCTATTTAATTTCCTTTATGAGTTATTTGAAAGAAAAATTACCAATGTTGGATTTACCAGCGAACTTTAAAATGCATGTACAGTAAATATCGTTTACAACGTATATGAAGCGACCTCGGGTTTTTGTACGTTGTAACCGATGTCTGCTGAATCGAATACATCGTTTACAACGTACATTGCTAAATCCGTTCGGTAGTAATACGAGTGGATGTGTTGCGGAAGATGGGGGGTGTACCCAAACAGAATGTATGTACATATGTATGCATTGATTGAAACAAAAAATCTCCTTTAATGCATAAGAAATTTCTTCTACATTTACATTCTTCACTTAGGTAGGGTATATGATCAAAATTTTTTACATATTTTATACATTTATAAAGAATTCAGTGATTTTCTTTTGTGATTTATTTTTACATTCTCGATTGTTGACGAGACGATCGAAAACGCTTCTCTAACGGCCTGAGAGGTTTCGTTGGTGTGTATGAATGCCCGGAGTGTCGAGCACGCTGCACACGCTTCAGCAGTCGATGGAATTTTGCCGAAAACGCCCTCGTCGTCTTCTGTTTTGGGTATGAATACAGCGTGCTGTTGATGAGGCAACTTTCCCCTTCGAAAGAGAGATTAACACTAAGTTATCATGTGCGGTGTTTGGTGTCTGTTAGTTAATGATTATTTGGAGATCGTGGGATGCGGTATGGTGTGACGTAGGTTTAGAAAAACATTCTTTAACGTGCCAACGTTTCGATCTTTATTGAGATCATCTTCAGGCTCAGAGTGTTTGTTTTCCGAGTAGATGTGCCATTCTTGAGTGACACTCCCAACACGACAGACAAGAATGACACATCTACAAGGAAAACAAACATTTTGAGCCCTGAAGATGATCTCAATAAAGATCGAAACGTGGCACGATAAAGAATATGTTTTTCTAAACCTTCGTCACACCGTACCGCATCTCACGATCTTCACATCATCACCCAGAGCCAGAATTTGCGTGCGTTGTACGCTGTTACCGATATTTCCCCCCAGGACCCAGAAAAGTGTACGCTCTAAACGGCGTTAATGTAATTTTTCCTGTACCATTTCACGGTGCTGGAGATTTGGTATGCTTTAACCGGTTGAAAGTTCTATCCCGTGGTGTTATAAACGATATTTACTGTACTGTACTTATACTTTTAAATATATCAAATGCTAAGGAAATCTGGTCAACCGAAATTCTAGATTTTTTCTAAGACAAATGTGCGAACCGATTGAAACATTACTAGCCTGGAGTTCAGAAAGAGATTTCTATTCCAACTAAAATAATACCAGTTGTCAAGATCTCGTTGAAAATTTTAAATTTTAACAAAGAACGCATAAAATTTAACCAGTCCCGATTTTATCTTAATTTTTTATATCTACCGAGAGGCTATTGAGAAACCCACTCGGCTATGCCGGAGGGCCCCACTAGCTCCTACAAGACTAACACGATCCACAACCCACTAAAAGTGACACCTCCTTCTAGACACACATGAAATTGAAGTGGTTAGTATTGGGAAAATCGATATTAGGACCTAGGCAATATCCACATTGGAAAGCTGTGACTAGGCCGAGTGTGATATTAAACCGAAATCACCTAACAGGAAAGCCCGACGCGATTAAATGCTGCTACGAGACAGCAACTGCAGCGTTACCGAAGTTGTGTACACAGATGGGTCAAAGTCAGACAAAGGAACGGGCGCAGCAATAATGACAACAGAAGGCACAGTATCTCAAAAATGGAAGCTTCCGGAAATCTATTCGGCAGAGAGCATTGCCATAACTACGAGCTCTTAAGTCTCTAGCCCCAGAAAAGCTAACACACGACGACGCAGCCATCGTATCAGACAGCCTTAGCGTACTAACGGCTTTAGAACAGGATAAAACTGACGAAAACCCACTGATAGAAGAAATACTAGAGGTACTTGCCGAATTGAGGACAAACGAAGTAGAAGTTCACTTCATATGGGTCAAAGCACACGATATAAATAAATACAACAAGGAAGTAGACCTATTGGCAAAACATGCTGCAAAAAAATGGTAGCTCATTGAAATTGATAACAACATGCGATATCAAAGCACATATCAATAAAATGGCCAAACAGAATTGGCAAAAAGAATACGTCGAATCTAAACGAATTAAAGGGAAATACTATGCAATAATCCAACCCGCCATTCCCTACAAGCCATAGTTCCACAGAATTACTAGACCAAGGAACTTTTCAACTACCATTATCAGACTTAGACTTTACCACAACCAACTTCCACACCATCTAGCAAAAATATCCCTCATAGAAAACGCAAATTGCTACTGTGACGGAGAAACATATGCCGACCCGGAATATGTCATATTAACATGTACCAGCAGAAACAGAGGTAGAGAGGAATTATATGAGAACTTAAGAAAGCTCGGAGAAGCGTTCCCAACAAATGTGGCAACTATAATGAGCGACACTAAAAATATTCCAGTATTTGACAGTTTAATAACCTTTATAAAAAAGAATGACATCAAAATATAAAAGGCAACAACAACACGTAGTGAAAGAAACATAGTAAATTCTATAGACCGCGGCGACGCCGAAGGAAAACGCATGGCCGATGCATTGAGGAAAGCCAAGAGAAAAAAAAGAAAAAATCTTAATTTTTTATTTGCCAATTTAATACTTCTAATCTAGGCAACTTTTCCTAATTGAGAAGTATGTTAAAATTAGTTTTCCGACAATTAAATCATCTCTCCCCAACTTTTCTCAAACCTCATGACATATTGAACCCTATAAATTTAAACCCGATTCACCTATGACAACTAAAATGTCTATAATATCTGCCATCAATAACTTCAAAATAAGTATCACAAGAAGTAAGACCACTTTTTAAAAATATCACCTAGACATAATTTGGCTGAAGCTCTTCAATAACTTCAAAAAAGCAGTAATATCTCTTACCTCATTATTTACTGCAATATTGAGAATGCATGCAATGGAAACTTTCTTACATAAAAATAACCCCAAAGCCTCATAAAAATAGCTCCTATCATCTTACCGACATGTTAGTTTGTTATCCTTTCTAAATTATTCGACAAATTAATTCACAAAAGAATATCTCTATTGTTAATTCGAACGTATTACCGGACTTAGATTTCGAGCCCATCATTCAACGTCATCAACTTCACAGTTACAGATTGTATTACTTCTCAAGCATTGTACGCGTTTGGAGTGTTTTTAGATGTTTCTCAGGCTTTCGAATAAGTAAGCCATGAGGGACTATCATACAAATTAAAAATATTTTTACCCCAGGACTATTGCTTTCTACTCGATGCCCCAAGTAGTAGAGAACTTCATGCACGACGTCTAGAAACGTCTCTGATGACTGTTTTAGAGCTCACACTTACACTGGGGACCGTTTGAAGATGACCTATCAGGGAAGCCGTTAAATGAAGGTTCCGTAGTGCGGTAAGAACAATAAAACGATCGCCTCTAGCTGTCGTACATCGCGGTCGACCATTACCTTCTCATCGATCCGGACTACTAGTGCCCCTAAACCAGCGTAGACCATCGTGAATGGCAGAGTGCGGCACACCCATGACTTTGGGCTATGTTACGGACGCTCGTTAGCCAAAACATCTGCCCGGGTGTGATCTCGACTTCAAACTTTTATGAAATGTATTCCATCACTGTTTAACAATGATGTTCCATCAAAGAAAAAAAAACTTATTAATTCACTCGACAAGTTGATTGATTTTCTTTATTATTATCTCTATGGTGTAAAAGGATTAGTAATAACAATCTAGATAGACAACAAGCTATTAATGTTGTGTTTATGTAAGAAGTTATTTAATCTTTATACCTAGGTCTTACAGAAAATAAATAAATACAAGTGTCCGGTCTTTTGTCTTTGAGTGTATTATAAAGTGTTCGTCTACTCGTGTTACAAACTTTGCCAGTAGATTCTACATTCAGAAAGGAACCAAAAAGTCCTAATTAACTATGGTCTGAATCTCAACAGTTTCGGAGTTCTTCCAGTTTTTATGATTTTTTAAGATTTCAGGACCTTGCTTCAAATAAACAATGATAACTTCAAAACTAAAAGGTTTTTTGACTAATCCATTGATACCATTGAAAACTACGTTAAATTCCCAATAAAGTGAGATCAATACGAAACTTGTAAACATTCGGGAAATGAGCGTTTAGTAGCCAGATCTTTGAAAAACATATTTTTTTTCAAAATTGAAAAAGTTACAATTGCGATTCTAAACTACTATTTCCAAACCTAGAAAAGAGCAAATTTCAGAAAACGTACTCCATTCAATATCCTTTTTAGTGGTGCAATTACTTTTTTAAATACTTGTTCAATGATGAAGAAATTAATGAAGGAAAAGAAAAAGCCGTGGTTGAAGGATTCATAAGATGGAAATATCAATAATAATAAAAAAAACCTTGAGGAAATTTTGAATGAATTTATTAAACGTTTTTTTAATTTGGGTTCAAAACCGAAATAGTGTTTACTTATTTGATCAATTTCTTCATCTTTGAAAAAAGTAATTAAAAAAACAACAGCAGCAATAAATTCATTCAAAATCTCCTGAAGGTTTTTATTATTATTAATATTTCCACCTTATCAATCCTTCAACCACGGTTTTTCTTTTCCTTCATTAATTTCTTCATCATTGAAAAAAGTATTTAAAAAATCAATTGCACCACTAAAAAGGATATTAAATGAAGTACGTTTTCTGAAATTTGCTGGTCTC